CCAGTCTTACCCTGCTCTGCTGTGAGAACCCCCTGGGCTGTTCATACACAGCTTCTGGCATGTAAGCTGCTCCTTGGATTGTGCAACCAAATGACACTAGCCAATATCTCCGGTCCCAGACACAACCCCAGGAATCTCCATCTTGCAGTGTCCAGTTATGCCCGCTGGATGCTGCATGCTTATATGAGTTCGTCAATTTAACAAAGAAATTGATATGCACCAGGCTTGTTATCCCAAGGGGAGTCTCTGACACACTTCAAACCAAATGCACTGCTTCAGATAGAATAAACAAACAGAGTTATTAACTGTAAAGATAGATTTTAAGTGATTATAAGTCAAAACATAACAAGTCAGATTTAGTCAAATGAAATAAAAACAAAACACATTCTAAGCTGATCTTAATACATTCAGTGCCCTTACAAACTTAGATGCTTCTCACCACAGGCTGGCTGGTTGCCCTTCAGGCTCTCCCCTTTGATCAGCGCTTCAGTCGCTTGCTGGTGATGGTGTCTGTAGATGTAGGTGGAAGAGAGAGGAAGAGCATGGCAAACGTCTCTCCTTTTTATCATGTTATTTTTTCCCCCTTGTCATTGCCCCCCCTTCAGAGTATTACCTCATCGCAGTCCCAAACTGACCAAAGGAAGGGGGGGTGACTCACTCAAAAGTCCAACAGATCCTTTTGTTGCTGCCTAGGCCAGCGTCCTTTGTTCCTGTGAGGCTGGGCTGGGTTTGTCCCATACATGCCCTGATGAGGTGTGAACTGCCTCTCTGCTCTTGGAGAGTTTTTGCCTGGGATTATTTTAAGCCATGAAGACACATTTTCACCTCATAACTATATACATGAAATTATAACCTGTAACATTACTATAAGATTGCTGTAACAACAATTACTATAACATCACTATAACAACAATGCTCAGTGCATCATGAGTTTTCCGAAGACACCTAACATGACAAACTTTGCATTCGATACCACACAATCATTTTATAAAGATGAACATGGGGGTGTAGGGTGTTCCCATAAAGGTACAGAACGTCACAAGGACAAATCTGACCAATTGCAGCTTTTTATTGCTGGTGAACTAATGCAGCAAGCAACTTCTGCTCATCTACAAAGAAAGATAACGATACATGCAAATATTAGGCTTGTGAGCATTTCTTTTGCTGACTAAATATACAAATAACACAAATTGGGTGTGGTTGCTCTGGCTTTTGGCAAGTAGCCAAAATGGCCACAACGCCTGCCCAACACTATTCCTCTGAGATAGCTCATATCTTCTTTGACTGTTTCCATTGCTGGAGCATCAACACTCAGTTGTTGTTCCATTAAGACAGTCTCATCTCAAGATGGGTGTGAGCTGCACAGTTCTTTCAAACTCTAAGGGCAAGTCTACACTACAAAATTAAGTTGACCTAAGTTAGGCTGACATACAGACACCGGAGTAAGTACTGTGGTGGTTCATGTTCACACTATGCCTCCTCTGTCGGCGTTGTGCATCCTCACCAGGAACACTTCCACTGACTTAAATGTGTGTGGCATTGTGGAGCACTGACAGCTGGAGGCCCCCCACCTCGCCCTGGGGCTGACAGCCTGATTTATTAACTACAGAAAGATAGATTTTAAGTGATTATAAGCAGCAGGCATAGAGATCAAAGTTGGTTACTTAAGAAATAAAAATAAATTTGCAGTCTAAGTTCTACAAACTATGCAGGATTTGTCTCAAGCAGTGTCTCCCTCTGACAGATGGTACAAGCAGGTTACAGGTCTTCAAAACACAGGCTTGGGACTCTTCACAGCCTGGGGCCACCTTCCTCCAGTTCAAAGTCTTTGTCCTCCAGCCGTGTTTCCTGGTGTTGAGTTGTGGGGAGTGAGGCCAAGTGATGATGTCACTTCCCCTCTTTTATAGTTTCTTCCAGATTGCTGGAAAGATCTATGCTGTGATGTGGGGTTCAGTCAGTCCCCATTGGTCAAGCAATCTCCATTGCATACATGTGCTCTCTGAGAATTCTCCATTGCATACAATCTCTGGGATAATGGATTATTTCCCTGATGGGTGTTGATGAGCCATTAACACTGTCTAGCTACTCCACTGCTGTTACCTCGCAAGGTATACTTTGTACAAAACATATCATAATCATATCACCATGGTGAATATGGGGGTGCCGGGATGCTACTATGAGGTACAGAATGTCACCCTCCCTCAATCTGCCCTTCCTGTAGGAAGCCCCAGACTACGTTCATCTCCACTTTCTGTCTGTTGCTGGCAGCAATTACACTGTGGCCAGGGTTTGTAGCTTGGGCTAGTAAAGTAGTAAACATTAGAGCTAGTCAAAATAGTTCCAACAGAAGAGCCCCCTTCCTGTCACCACCCCCAAGAAAATGCTGAATCAACAAAATCAAAACTTTTGAGGTATATTAGATTCACTAAAAGATTTGACAGCAAAATTATCACAATATTTCAACAAGGTCAAAACGTTTCATTTTGACTTTTTCATTTGGACTTTTATGCTATATCATTTACAATGTAATATAAATGCCAGAGGAAAAAATTGGAAATAGGAAATTTTGTGTTCTACCAACCTTTTATTTCCCCCCCTCACACCCATTTTGCTGCTGAAAAAAGGAGTGGAGAAATGGGTCAGAAATGGGTGGATGGGAAGGAATGTTTCCCCACAGACAATTTTTTTTGTTTAGAAAACATTCAATTTTAAAGGTTTTCTGAACCAAAAACTTTAATTCCCCCCTTCCCACCACAAACACAAACACACACACCTGTACTCCCTAATTTTTTCTGTCAATGTCAATGGGACACCTCATGGTAGCAAAATTAAGCACATAAGTGAAATATGTGGAGGATTAGGGTAATGATAAAGCCTACGATTTAGTCACGGAAGTCACGGAATCCATGACTTCCAACAACGTCCGTGACTTCAGCCTGTGGTGATCGGGAGCTTCAGGGTCCCGCACTGCCCACGGGGGCATCCCCCAGAGCTCCCAGCGGACGGGTGAACCCCCAGAGCTCCCCGCAGCCAGAGGAATTTTGCAGCTTCCGGCCACTAAGGGCAGTGGCGGGGGAAACCCCGCATCTTCCGGCCACTGAGGGCGGCGGCAGAACCCCCGAGCTCCTGGCTGCTGGGAGCAGTGGTGGTGGAACCCTTTAGCTCCTAGCCCCCAGAGCTGCGGGCGGCAGGGGTACCCCACAGCTCTAGCTGCCGGGGGCTATGGGGGAATCCCTGAGCTCCCAGCTGCCACAGCCCCTGGAGCTGCGGGTAGCAGGGGTAACCCGGAGCTCCCAGCTGCCATAAGCAGTGGGGGACGCCCGGAGCTGCAGGCAGCAGGGGTACCCCACAGCTCCAGGGGCTGTGGCAGCTCCTAGCCCCTGCGCAGCTGCCCTGCTTCAGGAGATGTGGGGACCAGCAGATCCCCATGTTGTCACAGATATTTTTAGTCAAAGTCACGGACAGGTCAAGGCTTCTGTGAATTTTTCTTTTTTGTCCGTGACTTTAACTAAAAATATCCATGACAAAATCTTAGCCTTAGTCATGATCTCCAGAGCTGGCTGAAAAACAGAATAGTTTTGGGAGAACATTTTCGAAATAATTTTAAAAAGGGAGATTTTGTTTGTTTGTTTCACTTTTTTTTGGTAGAAAATTTTAATCAAAGCTTTTCTGCTTTCAAAAAATGTTCAAAATGGACATGTTCTGGTGTTTTCCTCCCACGCTTCCCTTTTTCCATTTTGCTGCTGAAAAAAGATGAAAACAGGAAACACCTCCTGGAATTTGGGGGCTTCATCCCCAAAACATGGAAAGTTTAAAAAAAAACCACCACAAAATTTTCATCTTTTTTTAAAGAACTTTCAACATAAAAAGTGTCAAAAAAAATTCAACCAGCTCTAATCATGGTGTTTATTACACAGGAGCTGATTGTTCCTGGCACATGCACTGATTTATTTTTCCCAGCAGGGGGAGGGTGCTCCACCCCTGCGTCACCCCAAGGCCCCACCACCACTCCGCCCCTTCCCCTGAGGCCCTACCTTCACTCCGCCTCTTCCCGCCCTGCTCCACCTGCCACTCTCCGCCCTTCCGCAAGCACCTCCCTCAGCCACCAAACAGCTGATCGGCAGCAGCATGGAACAGTTGTAGCTGGTGGGTGCTGAGCACCCACGCTTTTTTTCTGTGGATGCTGGAGCCCCGGAGTGCTCATGGAGTCGGCACCTGTGGTTCCTGGAATGGGAACATTTCCCAGGGCAGAAATGCTCCTTCCCCCTTATTTTATTTGCTTCCCCTCCTTGTCTGTCTAATTATGCTCCCTCCCACCTGCTTCTGTTGCTTAGAGGGAACTAAGTGGGAAAATCAAGGGCTTTTTTTTACCTCAGAGAAAAGCTCCATGTGCCCCAAATCTGCACAACACATGAGCTAATAGACTGCCACCTTAGGTTCCACTTCAGGAAGCTACTTAAGTGTGATGCCTAAGTGTAAACATGAGTAATTCCAATGCAAGTGCTGGGGTGGGGCCTTGGCATCCAGGATTCTGTTCCCAGCTCTGCCACAAAAATTCTCTTCCACATTTTGAACAATAATTTTCAAAGTAGACTGTAAATTTGTTAAAAATTTGTTAGTCTCTAAGGTGCCACAAGTACTCCTGTTCTTTTTGCAGATACAGACTAACACAGCTGCTACTCTGAAACCTGTAAATTTACAGCTACCTACTGTAGGGTGCACCACCAGTAGAAGTGGCAGGATTTGCTTTGATGAATAGAAGATCTTTTATTAAGGCTGCTGGACGTAGGCACACCCTGTGGTTCTCCCAGACTCTGTAGCTCCCTGACTGTGCTGTCGAATTTCATCACTAGGCGACTCCATAAATCCAATCAGGTTTTGGACAAATTTTTCCTGTCAAAATAATTCAGCCAATTCCAGAGTTTTTTGATCTCCAGTTTGTTTTATTCAGTGCAACAAACTAAAGGGGAAGCAAATCCGTCTAGAAAGTGAGAGTCTCTGGAATGGAAAAGCAGCAGCTGAGAAAGGCAAATGCAAGCTGAACAGGTGTTACTCAGTGCAGTGTCGCCAGTGCATAATGTGGGGATCAAGGGAGGAGCTTCACCAGGAATAACCCTGTGAGGACTGGGAGGACGAGAAGCCCAGATGGTCTTGGAGTCATGCCAGCCGCAAAAGGGGCTGCACCCCTAGTTGGGCTGGCTGCACCAGGGGCTAGTCCCTTAGCTGTGCCACTTGCGCTGGGGGCTGGACCCTTAATCCGGCTGGTTACAGTAGGGGCTGGTCCCTTAGCTGTGCCACTTGCACCCAGGCCTGGTCCCTTAGTCAGTTCAGACCTGCCAGGGGCTAGCCTGCATGTGGCTGTGGTTATCTGTATGTTGTCTCCGAAGGTCTTTGAATCTCCTTTTAAAAGGGTGCACATGGATTCAGTGGCGCAACCCTTCAAAGTGGCCTGTAAAGGAAACGAACCTGCCCCAGGAAAAAGAAGCAGCTGGTCAGTGTCAAGGAAGTTTTGTCTCCTTCTGTCACCATTACCCATAAATCCACACCTCCTGCCCATCTAAACCATGTTAGGATATAGATATTCAGGCCTGTCTGTAAAGGCCTATACTCTAAGAATTTAGGTGTATTCTTATCACTTAGCTAGTTATAGAGGTATAAAAGAAAGAATCAAAGTCACTGTCTGTCGGTGTAAGAGCCTTCTCTTGCTGTAACTGTCTGAGGCCCTGTTCTTAGGCTAAGGCCTTTGGCTAAGCAACAGAGGCAGCCATAAACTGGGAAGCAAATGGTCACCGCCTCACATTCCAAACTAGTCACACTGAAATAAGGTACTATTGGGCTGTTAGGAATACAATCCTGTCCTGATAATGCCTATCACCTCCAGAGAAAGGGAAGTGCCTAGAAGATGTAAAAGGAAGCTTAGTTTGATAGCATCCTGTCTGGCAAGAACTCACTTATCAATAGCTGGGATGTGAAATCCTCATTTCTGTGTTGTTCTATCACTGTAGTCCCTATTTCCCTATTGTTTGTCTGTATAATCTCTGTCTGGTTTTGTGATTGTTTCTGTCTGCTGTACAATTAATTTTGCTGGGTGTAAATTAATTAAGGTGGTGGGATATAATTGGTTAAATAATCATGTTACAATATGTTAGGATTGGTTAGTTAAATTTCAGCAAAATGATTGGTTAAGGTATAGCTAAGCAGAAGTCAAGTTTTACTATATAGTCTGCAGTCAATCAGAAAGTGAGTGTGTGTGGGGGCGGGGAATGGGAACCATGTTTTGCTAAGGGCAGGAATGGGAATAGGGACACAGGTGTAAGGCTCTGTGGTGTCAGAGCTGGGAAGGGGGACATTAAGGAAGGAAACTGGAATCATGCTTGCTGGAAGTTCACCCCAATAAACATCGAATTTTTTGCACCTTTGGACTTTGGGTATTGTTGCTCTCTGTTCATGCGAGAAGGACCAGTGAAGTAAGTGGGTGAAGGAATAAGCCCCCTAACAAACCACAGCAGCCTCAGCTTTGTCCTCTGCTCTGTTTCCTGCAGTTCATCTAGGCTTCCCCTTTGCTCCATTCCCCAGAGTTCCATGTAAGCCCTCCATGACCTTCACTTCTTTGTCTGCTCTGCTTCCCCCTTCTCATCTAGGCCCCAACAGCCTCCCCCTCCACGGCTCTGATGCAGGCTCACTGTGTGCCCTTGGACAAATCATTGGGACCCCAGATCTAAAACCCACTGATGACACCCATTCACTTCAGTGGGCTTTGTATTAGTCCCACTCTTCATTGAGCAACGAAACAATTCATGGTTGGTGGCAGGGAGTGGGATCTCTAAGAAGAGAGGCCTTGTGCTCATTAGGGCACTGGCCTGGGACTCAGGATATCTGGATTCAATTCCTGGCTCTGCCACAGACTCCCTGATTGACCTTGGGCACATCACTTAGGTGCAGATTTTTCAAAGGAGTATAACATAGGCGGTGGTTGAATTTTAATGGATCTGGGTCCCTAACTCCCCAAAATCCTTTGAAGATACCAGCCTTAATCTCTCCAGGCCTCAGTTTCCTCATCTGTTCAATGGAGATAATAATCCTTCCTTTACTATTTAGATGGTAAAATCTGTGGAATGGTGAATGGCTGTGTCTGTGCAGTGCCTGGCACAACAGGGCCCCCAATAGCAAGAGATCTAGTCCAAGGGGAAACAGACACAGAGACTTGCCTGAGGTCACACAATAGGCCAGTTGCTGTCCAGTATTAGAACCCAGATGTCTGGAGTCCAAGCCAAACCCCTTATCTCCCAGACCATAAGTGAGAGGAAACAATAAGAAAGCAAATAGCATACCAGAATAAATACATTAAAGTTACCCATTGCTATGCTTCCGGTTACTGCGATGCATTGGGTCTCAGATCCAGTGCAGTCTAACGTCTCTTCGCTGCATGGAATAAACACAGAAGAGCAGGCAGGGCAACGCCAGCCATTTGAGGTTGTGTCTGCTGGGGGCACTATAGAGAAGCAGAGCAAATGCAGTCAACTTGGGGGATGTTCCAGAATAGGCTTCAGGACAGAGAGAGCAGGTTAGGGTTGAACAGCTCAGCCCCACATCCCCCAAACAGGAGCTCAGGAGACATTGGAGGTAGCAAGGTTAGTGGCATCAGTTTGCAGCACAGTCCAATTGAACCATGCCCCATGTGGAATTAGCTGCAGTTTGTGGCAGTCCAGAGCCACATTCACTTAATTCCACCTCTTCCCCCAGGGACCCAGTGCTATTCAATGGAGCACCCCTGCAGGCAGTAGGACTGTTCTCGGGGGTCAGTATAATTCACTGCAGCACCCCCTGCGGGGCAAGAGACTGTTCTCAGGGGCTCATTGCAGATACTGTTCCAGAAAAGAGGGGTACAGATGGGCAGGGGGAGGAGGGGAAGGTAATGAAGAGGAAGAATTGGTGTGGGAGTGGTAGCAGGGTGGGGAGATAAAAAGAGGGATACGTACTTGTAATGGAGTCTGTACTGCAGGCATCCCCCACACAACAGGTGGTGCTCTTCCTTATTGCTGTTTCCTCCCCAAACCTCACAACAACAGGGCTAGCTCTGCACTCACTGGATGCCATGCAGGACTTGGTTACCTGCTGTATATTGAATCCCACTGTACAAAAGGAGAAGACCGATGTTTACTCACCAACTCTGCCACCCTATCCCCATACTCCACAAAAAGATGGCTGTGTGTCTTTATCTTTACTCTACCCATGCGGAAACTGAAGCACGGAGACTTGCCTCAGGTCACAGAGTCAGTAATAGAACCCTGGAGACCTGAGTCCTAGCCCACACGCTGCTCCAACCCAGGGCTGGCCTTTGGGGAAATGGCGCCCTGGGCGAACTTGTATTTTGGTGCCTCGTGGGCACGGTGCCCCCACCCCCATTTCCCCTGGCCACCATGGGCTCCCCACCCCACATCACCTCTGGCCCCCAAGGCTTCCCACTCCACCAGGGCCCAGCAGCCTGTCCCCCCTCCCCCGTGCTTAATTTATATTGAAAGGAGCTCAGCTCCAGCAAAGTCTCGGCACAAATTAAGCACTAGCTGGGCGGCTGGAGACTGGCAGCTGCTAGCTTGGTGCCTAGCTCTAAAGGCTGCCACAAGCAGCAGCGGAGAAGTAAGAGTGCCATTGTATATGGTGTATTGCCACCCTTTGTGCTGCACTGTACCCCCTTTGCCCCAACCCCTGCACCCCCTCCTGTGACCCTAAGCCCTGCACTGTGTCCCCTTTGCCCCAAATCCATGCACCCCCCCCATCAGCTCCCCCCTCCTCCCCAGAATCTCCCACCCATCAGTTGCCCCGTGGATCAGTGTCTCCCTCTCCTTCCCCGCATCTCCTGCCCGCCACGATCAGCTGTTTTACAGCGTGCAGGAGGCTCTGAGGGAGGGGGAGGAGTGAGGATGCGGTGCTTGTGGGAGGGGCGGAACTGGGCAGGAAGAGGTGGAGTGGGGGCGGGAAGAGGCGGGGCAGGGGTGGAGCCTTGGGGGAAGGGATGGAGTAGGGGCAGGACCTGGGGGGAGCCAGAGGTCGAGCACCCCCACACACTTTGGAAAGTCAGCACCTGTGTTTCCCCCTTCACAGCCTCCTAGGGGGACACGGAGGAACATTGGGGCAGGGGGCAAGCAGTATATGTGTGTCACTCTTTGCACCCCCATTCCTGTGCTAGGAGAAAGCAGGAAGAAATCAGGGCACTTCCCTCCACGTGTCATAAGAACATAAGAATGGCCATACTGGGTCAGACCAAAGGTCCATCTAGCCCAGTATCCTGTCTTCCGACAGTGGCCAATGCCAGGTTCCCCAGAGGGGGTGAACAGAACAGGTCATCATCAAGTGATCCATCCCCTATCGCCCATTCCCAGCTTCTGGCAAACAGAGGCTAGGGACACCCTCCCTGCCCATCCTGGCTAATAGGCACTGACAGACCTTTCCTCTCTGAACTTATCTAGTTCTTTTTTGAACACTGTTATAGTCTTGGCCTTCACAATATCCTCTGGCAAGGAGTTCCACAGTTGACTGTGTGTTGTATGAAAAAATACTTCCTTTTGTTTGTTTGAAACCTGCTGCCTATTAATTTCATTTGGTGGTCCCTAGTTCTTGTGTTATGAGACGGAGTAAATAACACTTCCTTATTTACTTTCTCCACACCAGTCATGGTTTTATTGACCTCTGTCATATCCCCCCTTAGTCATCTCTTTTCCAAGCTGAAAAGTCCCAGTCTTATTAATCTCTCCTCACACAGCAGCCATTCCATACTCCTAACCATTTTTGTTGCCCTTTTCTGAACCTTTTCCAAGTCCAATATATCTTTTTTAAGATGGGACGACCACATCTGCATGCAGTATTCAAGATGTGGGCGTACCATGGATTTATAAAGAGGCAATATGGTATTTTCTGTCCTATCATTTACCCCTTTCTTAACGATTCCCAACATTCTGTTCCTTTTTTGACTGCCGCTGCACATTGAGTGGATGTTTTCAGAAAACTATCCACAAAGACTCCAAGATCTCCTTCTTGAGCGGTAACAGCTAATTTAGACCCCATCATTTTATATGCATAGTTGGGATTATGTTTTCCAATGTGCATTACTTTGCATTTATCAACATTGAATTTCATCAGCCATTTTGTTGCCCAGTCACCCAGTTTTGAGAGATCCTTTTGTAGCTCTTCGCACTCTGCCTGGGACTTAACTATCTTGAGTAGTTTTGTATCATCTGCAAATTTTGCCACCTCACTGTTTACCCCTTTTTCAAGATCATTTATGAATATGTTAAACAGAACTGGGCCCAGTAGAGACCCCTCGGGGACACCACTATTTACCTCTCTCCATTCTGAAAACTGACCATTTATTCCTACCCTTTGTTTCCTATCTTTTAACCAGTTACCAATCCATGAGAGCACCTTCCATCTTATCCCATGATGGCTTACTTTGCTTAAGAGCCTTTGAGGAGGGACCTTGTCAAAGGCTTTCTTAAAATCTCAGTACACTATATCCACTGGATCCCCCTTGTCCACATGCTTGCTGACTCCCTCAAAGAATTCTAGTAGAATGGTGAGGCATGATTTCCCTTTACAAAAACCATGTTGACTCTTCCCCAACAAATAATGTTCATCTATATGTCTGACAATTTTGTTCTTTACTATAGTTTCAACCAGTTTGCCCAGTACTGAAGTCAGGCTTACAGGCCTGTAATTGCTGGGATCACCTCTGGAGCCCTTTTAAAAAATTGGTATCACATTAGCTATCCTCCAGTCATTTGGTACAGAAGCTGATTTAAATGATAGGTTACAGATGACAGTTAGTAGTCCTGCAATTTCACATTTGACTTGCTTCAGAACTTGGGTGAATCCCATCTGGTCCTGGTGACTTATTACTGTTTAGTTTACCAATATGTTCCAAAACCTCCTCTAATGACACCTCAATCTGGGACAGTTCCTCAGATTTGTCAACTAAAAAGAATGGCTCAGGTGTGGGAATCTCCCTCACATCCTTGAGGATCACCTCTGTGAGTTTGTGGCCCTCCCCTACCAGCCAGCAATGCACACCTCTGAGCTGCTGCACAGCACCCCTTTGACCATAGCACCCTTGGCGGTTGCTCAGCTGGCCCACCCCTAAAACTATCCCTGCTCCAACCCACTGGCCCCATTCCACGAGCTGGGAATAGAACCCAGGAAACCTGACTCCCAGTCTACCTCCTGCTCCAACCCACTAGACCCCATTCTTCACCCAGAACTAGGAATAGAACCGAGTGTGCTCTGGTCACTGGACCATGCTGGTGTGAGATCTGGCTCATGTACCTATTAGGCTTTCAAACACAGTGATGGCACAGGAATCTTCTCCAGAACTGCAGGTCTCCATGCTGCCCGTGCAGTTCCTGCCAAAGCCAGTGCAAACCTCACACTGCAGACAGGCACCTAGAAAAGGAGAAAGAAAATTCTTTATGTAGATGTGTCCCTTTCTTCCCCCTCCCCTTCCCCTAGGTTCTTAGGGAAAGCATCTGGTGAAACCTGCTTTCCGGTGTTGAAGTTTCTCTATTTCACTTCACACACACACCAGCTCTGACTCTGGTCTCAGCTGGCTGCATATTCCCCATTTTTAAAATTTCCTGCAGGAAAATCAGCACTTCCCAACAGAAGATTTTCAAAAGGGGATTTTTCCCACAACATTTTTGGCGGGGGATAAAATACCAATTTTCCAGCCATTTCTAAAAAGGAACCAATCAAAACATGTCTTTGAGGACTTCAAGCATCAATATTTCCTCTTATTTCTAGAATATTTCAATGTGTTGTCATGCCAACTCGTGACTTCACAAGGAATCTATTCTTTTCCCTTCGACATGTCCAATTGACCCATTTTTCTGATAGCGGCTTTTTGGTGACATTTATAAACAAATTTATACAAAGGACCAAGTTGGACTCTTGCTACTTTGTACAACCTAAGTTGCAAGTCCCTGCAGAGGAACAGCCCTGACTTACCCAGATCTAGGAGAGCAAAGAGGATGTAGAGAAAGAGGGGAGCCTTCATGGTGATAGGAAGAGCATGAATTGGAGCTGGGGTCTCTGATGCAGCAAATTCTCCGTCCAGAGGATTTATGCAAGCAGGGGCTGAAGGAAAGTCAGAAGATGAATTCCACCTGCAAAATGCAATAAATTGGATGGTGTGATGTAAGTGTCATTAATAGGGCCCTATGAAATTCAGGGTCCATTTTGGTCAGTTTCACGGTCATAGGATTTTAAAAATTGTAAATTTCATTATTTTATCTATTTAAATCTGAAATTTCATGGTGTTGTAATTGTAGGGATCCTGACCAAAAAAGGAGTTCTGAGGTGGTCACAAGGTTATTTTTGGGGGGGTTGCAGTACTGCAACCCTTATTTCTGCACTGCTGCTGGCAGTGGCGCTATCTTCAGAGCTGGACAGCTGGAGCGCGGTGGCTGCTGGCTGGGAGCCCAGTTCTGAAGGCAGAGCCATCGCTAGCAGCAGTGCAGAAGTAAAGATAGCATGGTATGGTATTGCCACCCTTACTTCTGCGCTGGTGCTGGTGGGGCGCTGTCTTCAGAGCTGGGCGACCCCCCTGCAACTCTCTTTTGGATCAGGACTCCCAATTTGGGCAACACTGGTCTCCCCCATGAAATCTGTATAATATAGGGTAAATCACAGAATCATAGAAGATCAGGGTTGGAAGGGACCTCAGGAGGTATCTAGTCCAACCCCCTGCTCAAAGCAGGACCAATCCCCAACTAAATCATCCCAGCCAAGGCTTTGTCAAGCCTGAACTTAAAATACCTAAGGAAGGAGATTCCACCACCTCCTTAGATAACGCATCCCAGTGTTTCACCACCCTCCTAGTGAAAAAGTTTTTCCTAATATCCAACCTAAACCTCCCCCACTGCAACTTGAGACCATTACTCCTTGTTCTGTCATCAGCTACCACTGACAACAGTCTAGATCCATCCTCTTTGGAATCCCCTTTCAGGTAGCTGAAAGCAGCTATCAAATCCCCCCTCATTCTTCTCTTCCACAGACTAAACAATCCCAGTTCCCTCAGCCTCTCCTCATAAGTCATGTTTTCCAGTCCCCTAATCATTTCTGTTGCCCTCCGCTGGACTCTTTCCAATTTTTCCACATCCTTCTTGTAGTGTGGGGCCCAAAACTGGACACAGTACTCCAGATGAGGTCTCACCAATGTCGAATAGAGGGGAACGATCACGTCCCTCAATCTGCTGGCAATGCCCCTACTTATACATCCCAACATGCCATTGGCCTTCTTGGCAACAAGGGCACACTGGTGACTCATATCCAGCTTCTCGTCCACTGTAACCCCTACGTCCTTTTCTGCAGAACTGCTGCCGAGCCATTCGGTCCCTAGTCTGTAGCAGTGCATGGGATTCTTCCGTCCTAAGTGCAGGACTCTGCACTTGTCCTTGTTGATTTATTTTGTCCAATCCTCTAATTTGTCTAGGTTCCTCTGTATCCTATCCCTACCCTCCAGCATATCTACCTCTCCTCCCAGTTCAGTGTCATCTGCAAACTTGCTGAGGGTGCAATCCACGCCATCCTCCAGATCATTAATGAAGATATTGAACAAAACCGGCCCTTGGGGCACTCTGCTTGATACCGGCTGCCAACTAGACATGGAGCCATTGATCACTACCCGTTGAGCCCGACAATCTAGCCAGCTTTCTATCCACCTTATAGTCCATTCATCCAGCCCATACTTCTTTAACTTGCTGGCAAGAATACTGTGGGAGACCATGTCAAAAACTTTGCTAAAATCAAGGAATAACACGTCCACTGCTTTTCCCACAGAGCAAGTTATCTCATCATAGAAGGCAATTAGATTAGTTGGGCATGACTTGCCCTTGGTGAATCCATGCTGACTGTTCCTGATCACTTTCCTCTCCTCTAAGAGCTTCAGAATCACTTTCCCGATCACTTTCCTCTCCTCTCAGTGCATAAAAGCAGGCAAAAGACCAGATTTCACAGGGAGAGACCAGATGTCATGGTCTGTGATGTGTTTTTCATGGCTGTGAATTTGGTAGAGCCCTAGTCATTAAACATCAGGTTGAAGGTGCCCAGGAACTATGAGCATTTCCTGTGGTGAGGAACTGCACAGGTTAATGACGGATTGTGTAAAGAACCCCAAGGTTTTTTCATCTGCCACCTTTAGCCTTGTTGCCTTTTAATTTCATAGGGTGCCTGTTTGAGAAGAGAGAGTGAATGCTCATTCTCAGCTCTTGCCCCCTTGCCCTGATCTCAGGGCCATGCACCTGTGCTATGCACCGAATATGTGTAAGGGGGTATCGGTGTGCTGGGGCAATATTATCTATAATTATTACACTCACCGTCTTCCTGCACCTCTGCATAGCCCTTTGCTGAAGCACAGGCCAGAGTTCTGTCTTTTGTGAAAGCATTTACATAGATTTCAGAGTAGCAGCCGTGTTAGTCTGTCTTCACAAAAAGAAAAGGAGGACTTGTGGCACCTTAGAGACTAACAAATTTATTTGAGCATGAGCTTTCGTGAGCTTCATCGGATGAAGTAAGCTGTAGCTCACAAAAGCTTAAGCTCAAATAAGTCTCTAAGGTGCCACAAGTCCTCCTTTTCTTTTTGCATTTACACAGAGTTCAACTTTAGGGCTATATGTAAAACCCTGATAAATAGGTGTTAATAGCTCCCAGTCAACTGCAAAGAGTACCACACAGTTTCTCAGGTCAGGTCTACACTACAGACCTATATCGGCATAATTGTGCGGCTCAGGGGTGTGGGTGATGTAATTATACTGACCTAACCCCCTATGTGGACAGCACTTTTATTATACCAATAAAATAAAAACCAGCAGGACCTTATTAAAGGGGAAAAGGCAAAGTACCACATTTATTGTGAATACAGAAAGAATCATAGTAAGCAGTTAGTTATAGCTATAACATTCCATTCAATCTCATATTTATTCACACATTCATTCATACAAACACACACAGGTTCTGCAAGGTTGTTATCATAGTTACCAGCCTTAGAGTTGCTCATGCCAAGCCACTGGCCAGGTGGCCTGGACATGAGGAGGGAGCAGGGCCTTGTCAGATGCACATCTGATTCTCCTGGAAGTTGGTCTGCAGAATCAGACCCCAAAGTTCTCACTTTCTAGAGTCTATTTTTATAGAAATTTCTTCCTATGCCAGTCGTCTATGGGAATTGCTTCATCATGCTGTTGCTGAATCAATCAGCAGATGGCACATTCCTGACATCTCCGTGCTGCTAGATGTTATCTTGTTCTTTGGTTCTCCCATTCTTGAGGCTGTTGGGTGGATTCCAGTCTGCCCTCCGGGGGTCCTCTGGTTATTTCCACTTGAAGCCTTCTTCAGCCGATGGACACTGGATTCTTAGGCTGGCACCTCCCTGATCATTCAGTTATTATCCACACCAAGCATCCATCCACATACATCCTCTATCTCTATTTTAATCACAATTGTTAATACAACAAAAGGGCAGGGAGTCTCTGGGTGCTGTTTCTGTTGTTACAGAGTGTTGCTTTGAGTCTCTCTCTGTGTGAATTGCTTTGAGAACAGACTCTGTCTTAGAATGTACTAACGCAATTAGCAGCTTGCAAGTTTCACACATAGAGGGAGAGAAACAGTACCAAAAACCAAGAGACCTCTTAATTAGTAACACCCTGGAATTTAAACTATGGGGAATCAAACTCATTTGTGATTGTAATACAGAACTTCTTTAATATGATCCAACACTTTATCAGTGGGAGAGCTTCTGCTGTCGACATAGCTACTGCCCATAGGCACCAACTCCGTGAGTGCTCTGGGGCTGGAGCACCCAAGGGAAAAAAATAGTTTAGACGTTCAGCAGACCCCGCCCGTAAGCTCTTCCTCCTTCCCCCCAGCACCTCCTGCCCACCACTGATCAGCTGTTCGGCGGCGGGTGGGAGGTGCTGGGGGGAGGGAGGGGAGAAAAGAGGCAGAGCGTGCTCAGGGGAGGGGACGGAGTGGAGGCTGGAAGAGGGTTGGGTGGGGCCTTGGGGAAGGGGTGGAGTGGAGGTGGGACCTCGGGGTGGTGTGGGGATGGAGCACCCGCAGGGAAAGCTGAAAGTTGGCACCTGTGCGTACTGCCTCTCAGGGAGGTGGATTAATGGCGCAGTCGCATCTTCACTAAAGTGCTACTGTACTGTAGCGCTGTATATAAAGACAATCGCTCAGTAAAACAAAGATTTAATGTTCACAGAAAGTATTGTAAATAGCGTTTGGAACACTATGAATAACTTCAGCAAAAACTGTTAAGCGGTAAATTTACTGGGGTTCCTCACAGAGACAAGATGGGTGAAGTAATATCTTTTACTGAACAAGAGTACTTGTGGCACCTTAGAGACTAACCAATTTATTTGAGCATAAGCTTTCGTGAGCTACAGCTCACTTCATCCGATGTGAATACAGACTAACACAGCTGCTACTCTGAAACCTTTTACTGAACAGACGTGACAAGCTTTCGAACCACACAGAGCTCTTCCTCAGGTCAGAGATCTCTAGTATCCTGGGACTACACCTACGCTGCATACAATTCGTTTACCTAATACAGACTTCCTTCCCACTTTGTTCCTCTCATATACATTCAGATATAAGGTTTCAATATAACAGTTCCTATACTTTAGTACATATATGAAAACACCTTCCCCTCTGATGATGATTTCTCAGTCTGCAGTCATAACATGCAAGCGTGTGTCGCCTGAACTCTTCAGAGCTGGAGGAGAATGGCAGCATCTCAGTCTTTTCAAACATCCGAAAACCCTGTCAGCAAACAAACTGTCTGGAATAATCTGCACAGCTAGCAGCATTCCAGCATTCGGGTTAATAGCTGACTGGTCCTCTCAGTTGCAGGTGAAGCAGAAATTTATGGCCTATATCCAAAGTGATCTAGGTATTGGGAGCAGCATATAAAATATCCATTCCTTGGATTTCTATAAGGCTCTCACTCCACAGGGCAATATCTTTCCCACATAAACCCAGCTATGTCAGGCAAGAATGTACAAACCCCCACCTCACTAAGTGCTGCCCCATTCTCTTTACCTGAGACAGAATCCACAACTGAAGCATTAGCTAATAGCTAAATGTCAATTCCACAGGCTGTACAATCTCTAGGGGTAACAAGTGTTCCCCTCAGAGTTCTCCTCTAAAGCAGGGGTTCTCAACCTTTTTCTCTCTGAGGCCCCCCCAATGTGCTATAAAAATTCCACGGCCCATCTGTGCCACAATAACTTTTTTTCTGCGTATAAAAGTCAGGGCTGGTGTTAGGAGGTAGCAAGCAGGGCAATGGCCTGGGGCCTCATGCCACAGGAGCCCCCACAAAGCTACATTGCTCAGGCTTTGGCTTCAGCCTCGAGTGGCGGGGCTCAGGGCCCAGTTTTCAACCCCATGCGGCAGGGCTTCAGCTTTCTATCCTGGGCCCTAGTAAGTCTAATCCTGGCCCTGCTTGGCGCCCCCCTGAAACCTGCTCGCAGGCCCCCAGGGGGACTTGGACCCCTGGTTGAGAACCACTGCTCTAAAGGTCGGTAAGACACACTGTGGTGGACCAACCATCCTAATGGAGGGCTTTTATAGTAAAGTAAAGCTAGAATAGCACTCACCTATAGCCAAAGTAATACTAGTATTGGGAGCCAGCCCTCACAGCTGACACATCTCCTGGTCCTGAGTTGATCAGCGACAGAGTCTGCAAGACTATCTTTTATTTATAATCTTCTTCCCCCCGTGCTCTGATACGCTCCACACTCTAAGCGTGGTTGGGAGTGACCTGCTCAGTGGGTTGCACACAGTGAAAACTATACAGCTTCTGAAATAGCTACTGAGCATCTTTAGTAACCACCCCACCCTATTTCTCTATGGTCCTGTGCCCTTCTGGCTGAGTTATCCTGCCTTGCACTAGTATGCATGAGCGCCCAACACAGGGTATGTCTACAAGGCAGCTAGGAGCATGCTTCCCAGCATGGGTAGACAGATGTGCTAGCTCTATTTGAGCTAGCGTGTTCACAGAGTCATCCAACACAAATCCACGTTTCCTCTATTCTGCTTTTCTTCATTTTTTTAGGCCAAAGTCAAATGCTGCAGTACAGTAAAGCCTGTGCGTTACACACACTCATTCTCAGCAGTCCCCAGTCTCAGTACTGTGTGCCTGTGCCATGGACTGACCATGCTCTTGGCTCTCCCACAATTCCAATGCACAAACCAATTTTCCAATTTACCTAACTCTGCATTTAAATTTTAGCACACATTAAAAACCAAAGCAGATCATTTGGGGTGGGCCTGTATCTCAGGGATCCCTTGATCAAGTGACCCCAAATTTACATCTAAAGCTCCACTCTGGACTCTCAACTGGCATAGCAACTATCAAGTCAATCTCCATCACCATGGAGATTTCAGATACTCTGAAAGTTGAAACCTTGTCATTTTAGGGAGGCTGTGTTTTGGGAACACTTTAACCAAATTACTCCAAATGTGTACCCCAATGTCTACTCTGGACCCTCAACTAGCATAGCAATTTTCCAGCCAATCCAACTGTGTACGTGCATTTTAGAGCATTGTAAAAATTCAAAGGAAGTTGTTTTGGGGAAACTAGCTCAGGAACCCACAGACCAAAATACCTCAAATTCGTTCCACTAAATTGTTGCAAATGGCTCTACTGCATGATTCTCAACTTATTTATCATTGTGGGCTGCATATGTGGCCCACAAAGAGCTAGCTGGGCTGCACGTTGAGAACCATAGTGCCCTCCACCCCCAAACTCCTATGTTCGGCACCCTCCGCCCAAAGACCCCTCCACAGTGTGGGGCCAGGAGCGGACAGCTAGGCATGGGGCAGGGGGCAGGCAGGAGACCCCAACTCTGGACCCCGTGGGGACCCCAAGCCCCACTGCGCGGGGCTGGGGAGCAGCCAGGACCCTGACCCAGGATCCTGCCAAGATCCCAGACCCTCCCGGGACCCTGGATCCCAACCCGCTGTGCAGAGTTGTGCAGCAGCCAGGGCCCAGACCCTGCCAGGATCCCGGAGCCCAGAGACTGCTGCATGGCAGACTGGAGACGACCGTGCAGTAGCCTAGAGCCTGGAGACCGGTGTATGGCAGCCCAGAGACTGCCACGCAGCAGGGCAGCCCAGAGCTCGTGGCCTTTAGCACATAGCTGAGCTGGGCCACAGCTGTGTGCTAATTGGGCTGCATGCAGCACGTGGGCCACAGGCTGAGAACCGTTGCTGTATTGTCATACCCATTTTTAGGATAATTGGATAATATATGTAGATTTCTGAACACTTTGAAAAATCTGATTTTAACAAACAGCCTGATGGAACCTTAAGTATGGTAGGGCTCCTGCCATCCCAAAAGTAATTAAATAAAATATTTAATGAATGGCAACTCTTGGTTTAAATAGGAATTTTTGCAAGAAAAATGTGAAGCCATTTGCATTCCATTTTTTTTATTTTTATTTTTAATTTAATTTTCACCAAAGAAAAAAAAATCCTGGAAATGTTTGGGTTTGACACTTTTTGTTTTTCATTTCCCCTCCCCCTTTTCAACCTTCCATTTCACTGTGAAATGGGGGGAAATGGAAAGGCAATAAAGCAAGGAATAACAAGCAAACATAAAAAGCCCAAACAGACAATGACTTTTTTTTTTTGTTTTCCGCTTTTGCCCAGAAAATTGGAGAGTTGAAAACAATTTTTTTCCAACAAAATTTCCCATTTTAAAAAAGTCCATTTTTCATGTAATAATCAACTGATTCTAGTTGAAAGATCCATTGTCAAACAGCTACTGATCTGTGGAAGAGCAGAATCCCAGAATAAAATAGTGCTGAGGCAACTGACCCTGACAGGATTATAAGGGAAAGCAAAGCTGACTAACCCCAGGGTTCTGTTCCCAGCTCCATGCAGGGAGTTGAGTCTAAGGTTGAGGGAAGGGGAGCTGGGAAACCCAGGATTCCTGTTTTTCCCCCCTAAGGTCTGGAAGGGGAGTGGTGTCTTAGTGGTTAGAGCAGGGGGCACTTCGAGTCAAGATTCCTAGGTTTTTGTTCTCAGTTCTGGTAGTGAAGTGGGGTCTACTGAGATAGAGAAGTGGGGCTGGCAGTCAGGTCTCCTGGGTTCTATCCCCTTGCTCAGGATTATGCACAAGATAGCCCTAATTAGTTCATTATATATTCTTAGGACAGTGAGAAGGGAGGCAGGATATATGGGGATAGACAAAATGACAGCCAGGCCCCAATCTAGTAATTTAAAGAGGCCTGGTTTATAGGCTGAAATGTATTTAATCCTACTTGAATATTGCTGATTGGTGCAGGGCTGTGTTAATTGCAATGCAGGTTACATCCCAGGAGAATAATGCACAGACTGGAAGGGAATCACTTACCCAACGCTCCTAAGTCTCCAGTCACTGCAGGGATGGAAAAGAATATTTCTCTGATGGGGATGAGACATGTCAATTTCTCAGTTACAGAGTGCTCTCTCCCTCCCTTTTATAGCAGGATCATGTGCTGATTGGTTGCAGAACAGGCCATTTCCACCTTCAATATATATTTTATTTTTCCATACTTCGGCAGTTTCTGTTCCCCTGTCTTGCCCTCCAAATTGCTGCCAAAATTTCATGACTAAAGAGGAAGTTGAAAAATCCCCTTTTCGCATTCGCAGAATATTAAGAGACTAACATGGATTCTATAGAGACAAGGTCCAATAAAAGATATTACCTCCCCCACCTTGTCTCTCTATCCTAGGACTAACAACACTGCAAACAATAATGGATTTCATAAATGTCTATCCCACCTCTCAGTCTTTGAGAGGCAGTGTGACATGTTGGTTTAAGCACCTAAAGGCTCGATACATCCCAACAAGTGCAGAAGGGAATGTCTCAGAGACTCATATCCTGCCACTGACATGAGCAAGAGCTCTTGTTCCAGGCTGTTCATAATCAGCGCATGGACTCCATAGCCAAGTTGTCTGTTCACTCAGCAGGTCTAGTGGTCAGGGCCTGCTGCTCCAGTCTCACTTTTAGTTCTGTGTGTTCAGGACCCGCTGAACGGGGTTCAGTTAGGCTGGCTTCCTCACTGGTGATCTCCTAGGCAGGGCTAGGCATAAGGAAATCTGAGGTGCGTAGGGGTCTCTGAGCACTCCTGCTTCACCAGGTCCCAGTCCAGGGCCCTGAAAGTGTGACATCATGGGCTGGGCTTTACTCAGCCCACCTCTTGCTCACCTTCCCCTGGGCCACTTCTTGCCTGATGCCTCAGTTTGGAGCATGGCTGCTGTTTAATAAGAGTCCTTTGCTTCAAACCCAGAGACTTGGGACTGATGCAGGCAACCCTCTGGTGCTCCCACACATGGTTCTCCCTACCACTGCGGGGTAATGGCTCAAAGGAAAGGAGAGAAAGACTCACAGCCTGATCTTCTCAGTAAGAGCTTATTTGCCATCTGTCTCAGGGAAGTGCTTCTCTCCTCCCCTGCCTGGACTGCTGGAGTTCTCCTTATACTTCTCTTTTCCCCAGGAGCTTGGTTGGCAGTCCCTGAGGGCTGCAGCTTTCCTGGCCCAGTACTGCTCCAGCATTTTCCCTGCCTCAGCCTTAGTGAGGGGTTTGTAAAGCCCATCATGTGCCCTGCCAACCACGACTGACACTGTAGGGTTGCCTTGTGCAATCGAGACCCTGCAGTCTCTTGAGAAGAAGTCTGAACTTTTATGGGCCTTACCTGCTCGACGTAGTACTTCAAAGAAGTGCGGCTAGAGTGCTAAATACCACCTCAATATTAATGGGTTATGGTCCTGTGATGTTACACCCCATAATGCTTTGTAGAAATATGCTTTTGAATGTAAATATGACATAACTGGAATATGTTTTATGCTACATATGCCATGTAACATATCTCTGCAAAGGCTATGCTCTACTGAATATAGTCATCCTATTTTTATGCATGCATTTATGCATGCATTTTTGTATTCAAAGTTATGAATATTGGCTGTGTACTTGTTTGATTTTAAGTAGCCTCTGTGAAGCATTTGGTCAGCTTCTTGAGAAAAGACTATTCTCAGTAAGTGCCCAATCAAGAAACACATAATCTGACAATAGTCTTTGATAGATGCCAATCCACATCTGAGCTTTCCTGGGAACATTCCTGCAGAGGACTAAGTCATGCATGGACATGTGACTTGCCCAGGTGACTTCAAAACTCCATCTTGTAGAGGGGATTCTACACAGGGGGAGGGAGGGGTTTCCACCCATAAGAGAGAAACTATATAAAGTCCTGGGAGACCTCTCCATTTTGTCTTCAGCTGGCTCAAGAGGTAGCCTCTCCACCCCCAAAGGATACCTGAAAGAAACTGGAACAAAGGACAGTAACCACAGGGGTGTCAGTGATTGCTGGACCCAGACTAGAAGGAGCCTAGTCTGTAAAAGAAGCTTATTGGAACATCTCTGAGAGTGAGATTTCATCTGTAATCACTTTCTTACTGTATTAGGCTTAGATTTGCATATTTTATTTTATTTTGTGTGGTAATTCACTTTATTCTGCCTGTTATTACTTGGAACCACTTCAATCCTACTTTTTGTATTTAATAAAATCATTTTTTACTTATTAATAAACGCAGAGTATGTATTAATACCGGGGCGGGGTGGGGGGGGTAACAGCTGTGCATCTCTCTCTATCGGTGTTATAGAGGGTGAACAATTTATGAATTTATCCTGCTGGTAAATTCTTCCATTTACAAACAAACACATGGACTTCTGGGGGAATAGGAGAGTGTCTCTTAAATTCCTCTGTAGCAGTGAAGAATGCAGCTTTGGGGGCAGGAATGGCTGTAACCAGTTCCTGTAGCCCCAGGGCTCAAGGCAAGTCCCTGCGGGAGGGGCTAGACAAAGCCAGCTCCTGTCCCGTGATCATCTGCCCGGGGAATGGGAGAATTCCACCTTGTAATTGGGAGGCCATCCCAGCTGCTGACTGCCAGGAAGTTGCAGGTCAGCAGGGGACAGGGCCTGCCCTGGGCTGCACAGAGACATGTATCCCAAAGGTGGAAGTTGGAGTCCTGGTAACCTCTGTGGTGGGAACAGACCCCAGGGGCTCTAGCTGGAGGTCCTGGTGATGTCAAGGAATTATGACATGATTGGAATAACAGAGACTTGGTGGGATAACTCACATGACTGGAGTACTGTCATGGATGATTATAAACTGTTCAGGAAGGACAGGCAGGGCAGAAAAGGTGGGGAAGTAGCACTGTATGTAAGGGAGCAGTATGACTGCTCAGAGCTCTGGTACGAAACTGCAGAAAAACCTGAGTGTCTCTGGATTAAGTTTAGAAGTGTGAGCAACAAGAGTGATGTAGTGGTGGGAGTCTGCTATAGACCACCGGACCAGGGGGATGAGGTGGATGAGGCTTTCTTCCAGCAACTCACAGAAGCTACTAGATCGCATGCCCTGGTTCTCATGGGTGACTTTAATTTTCCTGATATCTGCTGGGAGAGCAATACAGAGGTGCATAGACAATCCAGGAAGTTTTTGGAAAACGTAGGGGACAATTTCCTGGTGCAAGTGCTAGAGGAGCCAACTGGGGGGGAGCTTTTCTTGACCTGCTGCTCACAAACCGGGAAGAATTAGTGGGGGAAGCAAAAGTGGATGGGAATTTGCAGTGACCATGAGTTGGTTGAGTTCAGGATCCTGACACAGGGAAGAAAGGTAAGCAGCAGGATACGGACCCTGGACTTCAGGAAAGCAGACTTTGACTCCCTCAGGGAACGGATGGGTAGGATCCCCTGGGGGACTAACATGAAGGGGAAAGGAGTCCAGGAGAGCTGGCTGTATTTCAAGGAATCCCTGTTGAGGTTACAGGGACAAACCATCCCGATGTGTCGAAAGAATAGTAAATATGGCAGGCGACCAGCTTGGCTTAACGGTGAAATCCTAGCGGATCTTAAACATAAAAAAGAAGCTTACAAGAAGTGGAAGGTTGGACATATGACCAGGGAAGAGTATAAAAATATTACTCGGGCATGTAGGAATGAAATCAGGAGGGCCACACTTCAAGAAGGATGTGGATAAATTGGAGAGAGTCCAGCGAAGGGCAACAAAAATGATTAGGGGGCTGGAACACATGAGTTATGAGGAGAGGCTGAGGGAGCGGGGATTGTTTAGCCTGCAGAAGAGAAGAATGAGGGGGGATTTGATAGCTGCTTTCAACTACCTGAAAGGGGGTTCCAAAGAGGATGGCTCTAGACTGTTCTCAATGGTATCAGATGACAGAACGAGGAGTAATGGTCTCAAGCTGCAGTGGGGGAGGTTTAGATTGGATATTAGGAAAAACTTTTTCACTAAGAGGGTGGTGAAGCACTGGAATGCGTTACCTAGGGAGGTGGTAGAATCTCCTTCCTTAGAGGTTTTTAAGGTCAGGCTTGACAAAGCCCTGGCTGGGATGATTTAATTGGGAATTGGTCCTGCTTTGAGCAGGGGGTTGGACTAGATGACCTTCTGGGGTCCCTTCCAACCCTTATATTCTATGATTCTATGATATGGTTTAAAGGTACTAAAAGGGAATGTAACCAGAGTCGAAAAGGGATTTTACATGTACTGCCTCCACCGTGGACAGTGTCCAAGTCTCTGGCAGTAAGTTCAGGAGTTAAGCCTGCAGCTTGTGGGGGACGTGGTTCAGATCTGGGTCTGTGTCTGTAACAGGCTAGCGTGTCTGGCACAAACAGGCAGGGTTCTGAAGTCCCAGGCTGCCAGGGAAAATGGGCTTAGAGGTAGTCTCAGCACATCAGTTGGCAGCCCCAAGGACTGTGATCCAACCCATCACAGGTCCTTCATGCTGAATAAGCAGCTGAGGGGTGCGTGATCACTCACCCAACAAAATGATTACCCCCATAGATAGCATCTTAACGTCTCAATGGCAAATTGAAGGGGTCTAGTTAAGAGCAAGCTGGGACCCCTAGAAAGACTGCACCAAGTGCAGATGACAGGCAACCTTGCAAAACCTGCACCTTTCCTACCAAAGGTTGCAGGCATCCACCCCACACCGTATTGCCCAGGTAGGTCACCTCCCAGCTGGCCAATTTACACTTAGATGGGTTTGCCATCAGCCGTGCATTTTTGAGGGCCCCTAAGATCTCTACGAGGTATGTAGGTGGTCATCCCGAGTCTTGCTGTACACAATGATAATGCCAAAGAATGCCACTGTATATCAGTTGTGTGGTCTTAGTACTTTGTTCAGCAGCCTCTAGAAGGTGGCTGCTGCTCCGTGCAGGCCGAAGGGTGTCTCTTTAAATGGGTAGAGTCTGAAGGTCCTAGAGAAGGCGGTCTTTTCTTGTGATTCTGCAAGTAAGCAGATCTGCCAATATCATTTAGTCAAATCAAGGGTGGTGATGTACCTAGTGGTCCCCTAGCCTCTCCAATAGTTCATCTACTCTCAGCGTCAAACTTGGACACGTGTCGGGAATACCACCTTTGGG